CCCACATCCCACCCACCCCACACCCACATCCCACCCACAACCACACCCACACCCACCCACACGCACACCCACACCCACACCCCTATTGAAGTCTAAACTACACGTTAGTATTAATAATAAATAATTGCTTTTGAAAATCACATGAAAAATAATCAGGTTCAGTTGTGATGCCAGTTTCCTATTCGCTTCATCTTGTGCACACCCAAAGACGATTACATTACTAAGGGTACTGTATTGTTAAAAAACATAGATTAAGTAAACATATGTAAAATATTTAGTCAAAAAAAGAATAAATCGAATCTGAATGCAACTTTAGTCATTCGTGTCACACTTTGATTGGAAAAATATAAGTATTGAAGTAAAATTTTTAACGTATCTCAAAGAGCAGATCAAGAACTATCTTTTTCATGTATTCATCTCGATGTCGATCGTTCTGGAAGAACTTGAATTTGTTTTAATGCACGCAATTCAAAAAAGTATATCTTTTTGTAAGTTTTGCCAAAGAACATTTTAGACACATTCAAATATTTCTTTTTTGAACTGTGTTTTTGAAATTAATATGGCAATTTTGACTACAAGGGTAATAATATTCAATAAAAACTGGTGAAAACATGTTTTACATTAAATAGTTGTCATACTCAAACGATTAATTATGTGATATTGAAATAGTTTGCATGAAAACAAAGGAAAAAGAAATGTATTATAGAGACTGTCGCTAGAGATATGATGCATGATCGTCTACGTTTTATCGAAGACATTCAAAAAAATGGAATAAAACAGAACAATAAAAACATAAAATTCTTGTTTTTCAATGACTATGAACATGGAAACGTCTTTATAAGAGGCTATTCGCAACGAGATATCTCTGGATAAGGTTTCAAACTTAATTAAGCAAGGTGTTGATTGCAATTTATCACATTTTGATCCATATAATTTCAAGTTTATTTCACCGATTAAGTTGGCTGCTGGAAGGGGTGTGGGTGTGGATGTGAATAAGGAGAGTAGCCACATCCACACCCACACCCAAAGAAGATTATATTATTTTAAAAAATAGGAAAAATTTTTCAAGTGATATTTGGACAAAATTTAGTTTACCAGCACGAAGAATTGCTAAAAATCCAAATCGATATGAAATTATACCAAATTATTTATCATGCAATAAATGTTTTCAAACTTATCGATTTTTAGATTCAAATACTAGTAGTATGCGAGATCATAGATGTCCAAAGGATATCTCCAGTACTCAAATGCAATTAAAATCATTTGTTACATCATCACCAACAGCATCATCATCATCATCACCTTCACGTTCAACAATTGCATCAAAAATTATAAAACAAAAAAAAAGAAATTATTAAAAAATTATTTGTTCGTTGGGTAGTTAGTGGCATGAGACCATTTCAAATCATATCTGATTCAGGCTTGCAGGCCATACTACAAGAATGTTTAGATATTGGTAAGGTTGTTGTTTTTTCTTCTACTTAATTTTAATGTTTTTTAGGTAGAGGATTATATTGGGAAAATATTCGAGTAGAAGAAATTTTATCGTGTGATCGTACAATTCGAAATGAACTATCTAAACAAGCTGAGATTGAACGAAACCAACTACGACAATTAATTTTAGATTGTGCAAAATCAGGTCGTCTTTGCATCAGTCCAGATATCTGGACTGATAACTATAGAAAAATTTCTTATTTGGGTGCGACTGCTCATATGGTTGATGAAAAATTTGGTTGCCATTCCATTGATTTATTTTGCATAGAATTTAAAGATAAAAAAAATCCAGCAAATATACTAAAAGTATGTAACGAAATCATTATTTTTCTCTCATATTCTTTGTTGTTGTTGCAGCTGTTGCAAGAGCAACTTGCTCTTTATCAAGTAGATGTATTTATGGATTTAATTACGTTTGTTACGGACAGAGGATCTAATTTTATCAAGGCTTTTAAGAATTATCGATTAATGTTTTGTGTTGCTCATCGCTTAAATGGAATTTTGAAGAAAATATTTTTTTCAAATTCAGGTGAAAGAAAAAAAAACACCATCTAAATCATCACCAATTATTTCAACCGAAATCACACCAATGAAAACAACAAATGTTGGTCGACAACCATCTCCAGAATTAATCTCAAGTGATGAACAAACTGATGACGAAGAAAAAGCAGCTCTCGAAGGGTGGGACCAAGAAGAAGACGATGATGATGCTGATACAATCGATTATTCTATATTAGATTTATCTAGTATTCCCTGGAATGCTCAGGAAATTTTAGAAACAATAAAATATTGTAAAGTTCTTGTAAAATATGTTAAAAAAGTAGGAATCTTTTTTAATTGAAATTTTAATTTATTATACTATCTATGTTTTTTAGTCTACTTTAAACAGACAAATACAGTTATTTGATGTTGAACTTGATCGTAATGAAGAACAACATTTAAGATTTACTACAATTTATCAGTTTTCACTAATTCGATGGTTATCCATGTGCAATTTACTTCAAAGTATAAAAAGATCTTATGAACCTTTACGAATACTATTGCTTGAAATTAAACAATTACATCGTCTTGAAAAGATCAATATAGTGATCGTTGATCAATTGATAGATTTTCTACAACCTTGGCAAAATATTCTGAAAGAAGTACAGAGGGGAAATGGGCCATCGTTGCATGTTGTATTTCCATGCATTAACTATTTACAAGAAGATTTACGTAAACGCGAGCGAAGCGATAAAAGTGGTAAGATCTAAAAATGATATTTACCTTTCTTTAATAACTGGTATGCAGTGTCATATAGGTATGAAGGTTTTTGCTAAACGTGCTTTGGCTTTGTTGAATTTCAATTTCATCATGAAAGATGAATATATTCTTGCATCATTTCTTCACCCGAAATTTAAGCAGTTGAACGCAGCAACAGCAGCTTAAAAAGTAGAATGTTATTGCACATGCCGTGCATTATTGCCAAAAATTTCTTCCACCATAACAACAAATATCGAAGATGAATCAGTAAGAAAAAAACAAAAAAAGTTTCTCGAAAATTTGATGGTCGATGAAGTAGCGAAAAGCAAATCGACAACAATAGTAAAGGATGAACTGGATATTTATATCGAGTTCCAAGTTGATAAAAACAAGGATTACTTGAATCCATTATCATTTTGGCAAGAGCACGAAAAAGTTTTTCTACATCTCTCTAAACTAGCGTGTCGCATATACTCGATACCATGTAGTTCAGCTGCTGTTGAAAGAGAATTTTCGGCAGCAGGTCAAGTTGTTAACCAAAGAAGAGCTAATTTGGACCCAACAACTGTCAATGATATATTATTTCTTCGTTCGATAGAGAATAATAAAATAAAATATTAATTGATCGTGATATGTATCTATATACAGATATTTTTTTGTAATCTGGTGCTAATTCATATATTTTTGTGCTCTACTGTCTTTTTTTGTACTACTCTGTGTATTTTCTTGTACTGTTGTGTTTTTGTATCTACTTGCAATATGTTGCCAAACAAATGATGGGATCAAAGAAATACAAATATCTTATAAACATAAAAGAAGCTGATGAAAAAATAAAGTAAATCCGGGGCGAGGTGGAATGAAGTGGGGCGAGGAGAAACTCGTACGGGGTGGGACGGGACGGGGAGCAACCTATACGGGGCCGATCTGGGCAGGGCGAAGAAAAAAATGGAAGACGAGGGCGAGGCGGGGGCAGTTGGTGAAAAAAGAACTTTGAGTTCGGGACGAGGCGATGCGGGGAAAGATTGTTTGAGGCGAGGCTAGGCGAGGAAGCTGAAATTCACCCCGTTTTGGCCTCTGGTTTATGCTCGCCCGCCTCCAAGCGTACACCCAAATCCACTACATAGATAATGAAACCATCAATCATCAGATTTCTTCGAAAACGTGTCGATACACATTGATAAAATTCTCATAGTGGTCAATTTGATTCTCTCTATTGCTCACATTGACCGAGAACTGAAGCAGATTATTAATGACGGAAACGTAATTTTATTTATTTGTGACGACAAAAGTTGTCTGATTCAAGTAAAACGTCAACACTTGCAGGAATCACACAATTCATAGCAACTATTAAAAGTAACTATATGATTTTTTTATGAGCTCATTTTTCTTCGGTATCTGAGATTCTTGCTTCACACTGCGTTTCGTATTCGAGTCAAACTCGAATGCCATCTATTCGAAAATAGTGGTTCGCATTTTCATTCTAGAAGAAGAAGTAGCTTATCAGCATAGTCCGTAAGTGGTTCGATATTTTATTTTGGTTTATGTTCAGCGCTTACTATGTCATGTGATTATTCTCGCTTAACTGGGATAGTGATCATGTGGTTATACTATTTCATCAAAAAAAACGCAATATATGTGAATACTTTGTCATCAAGCCATTCACGTGGCCATAAAGACAAGATCGTATCTTTTTTCTTTCACTATCAAAAGACTTTCTTTTGTATTGCTCTGCGTCAAGAAGAGATAAGAACAAACATACAACTACATTCTTTTGACTTTCTTTCTTCGACACATAAAAGTATTATAGTACACTGCACCATAGCTAATGACAATTCTAATAATTATTTATGCATTTGTGACGCTTGTTGTTTCCATTTGCTTCATCATCTATTGGAATATAATTCGTCCAGAGAAGAAAATATACGATGAACTTCGTAGTCAAGGCATTTCGGGTGAGCCGTTTATACCAATTATCGGCCAACTTTCACAAATTCGACGTGCTCGAGAAAGTGATCGAACTCTCGACTATCTGAATGAACTACTGCAGAAACATGGAAATTATTTTCTGTTTTCTATGGGTCCTCTAGTACGAATAATGGTTAGTGAACCTGACATGCTTGCGGATGTTCTCGGTCGAGCACATGCACAAGATTATTTTAAACCAACTCTATTTCTTACCGTTTTCAAATCATTAACTGGTACACGCAATCTTTTGGTCAGAGAAGGACTAGATCATGAGCGAGCTCGAAAAATGCTCAATCCTGCTTTTCATTTTACGAATCTAAAATCGATGGTGTCCATTATGGCTGATCAAACATCTAAAGCGATTGATCGATTGCTAATATTATCAAACGAAAAATCTGTTGATTTTCAGAAGGAGTTTAGCTCCTTGACACTGGCAATTATCATATCAAGTGCTTTCGGCACTGGTCTAGAAACTATGCCTGATGCTAATGATATCATATATCGATCTATCTCAGACATTTTAGAGATAATTAGATATAGAACAATGCGCATGATCAGTCAAGTTCCTCTACTAGCACGATTGCCTTTCTGGCGCAAACGACTTATGGATGAAAATTCCCGAACTGTGTCCAATTTCGTGGAACAAATCATTGCTGCTCGACGAAAAGGTGAATCTACTAGTTTGTGTGCCGGTGCTGACCTTCTCGATTTACTTCTCTCGGCTGTGGATGATCACGGACAACCTTTTACTGATCAAGAAGTCAAAGACGAGGCGTTGACTTTTGTGGTAGCAGGTCATGAAACAACTGCTAATCTTATGACATGGGCCATGTATGTTTTGATGACAAACGAGACTGTACTACGTGCTTGCCGTGAAGAAGTTGACAGAGTCCTGCCGAATGGAATGATACCCAGTTATGAGCACATGAATGATTTACAAGTATGCGAAGCTATTCTACAGGAAACACTTCGTCTATACACTCCAGTGCCCTGGTTCCTTCGAAAATGTATTCGAGAGCACACCATCGGTAGTGATGGTCACCGTCAAGTGCGTATTCCTGTTGGCACAACTGTTGCAGTTATGACTTACATGCTTCATCGACGTGCTGACTTTTGGCCTCGGCCACTCGAATTTGATTATATGCGGTGGATGCGTGATCCAATAACCGGTCTCAAACCGAAACTTGCTCATCCTTTCTGCTATTTACCATTCGCTGCTGGTTCACGTAATTGTATTGGACAAAATTTTGCCTTGCTTGAAGCCAAAGTTATGTTGGCTATGTTCGTACAACGATGTAACTTTTCAATTGAGCCTGGCCAAATAGTCGTACCCCAGATTACGATAACGATGAGACCTAAGTACGGGTTAAAGGCTAGAGTATCGAAAAGATCATAAAACATCATTGCCAAAGAGTACTGAATTCTTCGTACGAATGTACCAGTCACGATCCAGTACAAACTATCAGTAGCATTTGTTCTAAACTATCTTGTCTTCTAAAAAGACTGCAAAAATGACTCTAAAATTTTTTGTTGAGCTAGAATGTAAGCATGAGCTTAGAGTGTTGGTAAGGATGTGTGAATGTGGGCGTGGTCGTTGATGTTCACTGTACTCACATCTATCCACATTCGCGCCCAATCTGAAAATTCCCGAATAATTCAATTATGAATGTAGATGAGTGTGGGTGTGAATATAATTGAAAGAGAATAGAAATATCACATTAACCCACAGCCATAACCACGCTCACTAATGTAGCCTATGGAAATGTCTTCATCAATGTTCAATTTACGTGAACGTTGTCTGAATTCCAGACAGTGGCCTATCGAAGGTAAGTAAAAATTCGCCTACACGTGAGTATTCTCTTGGCAAAAATCACGATGGCAAAACTGTGCATTCCGTTCTATTTCAAGTGACTCAGACCCTAGTAGTTGGATTGTTTGGAGTTTCTGGAACACCTAGGGTGTAGGTGGACGTGGGGTGTGGGTGGATATGAGTGAAACTATTCTGTTCATCCATACCCATACCCCACACTCACCCACCCCTGCACCCTCAGTTTGTCATTACAATGTTGTCAACTAAAAAAATATACAAAAAATATAAGAGAATCTCTTATTATTACTGAGAAATCAGAAAACCAAAAGCAGAAACCTGCCGGGACTTTTTATGGAACCATGACTACTTTGCCTTTTGTTTTCATTTTTTTTGTTGATCTAAAGATTTCTCAAAAAAACAGTTTTCACCAAAAAAGTCTGAATCTTTAGTGTCTCGAAAGCAAAAAGAAAATCTGAGTTTACTATTAAATGGACTTTAGTAGTTTCAACTCAATTTGTCGGGACCTACAATAATCTGTTGGTATGTCCTAAGCATTTTTTGAAATATTTGATGGGTATATTGAAAGCATAGCTGTCTATACGGTGAACACACAGAAAGAGGAAAGTCTTAGCTGGGTATGGCCAGCTAACTCTGCTACCGGAGTGAAATTCCGTAACGTTTTTCGCTTATTTTGTTTTCTCGATAAATATCAGGCAGTAGCACGTAAAGAGTTGCGAGACGTCTTAAATTAGAGAGAAAAGTCTTGTACATATTCTAAGATATTTTTCGCTTTTGGAACGTTTGTCGTTTCCAAGATATAATTAAAAAACTGATAACTACTTTTCAATTCTGAAAATTATTACTTTTTCAAAAGTGGTGTTCAATTCTTTTGTTACATCTTGGAAACGACAAATGTTCCAAAAGCGAAAAATATCTTAAAATATGTACAAGACTTTTCTCTTTAATTTAAGACGTCTCGCAACTCTTCACGTGCTACTGCCTGATATTTATCGAGAAAACAAAATAAGCGAAAAACGTTACGGAATTTCACTCCGGTAGCAGAGTTAGTTGGCCATACCCAGCTACGGAATAGCTCTAAAAAAATTAATTTTGTCTCATAATAGTTATAATAAAGAAAAGTAACTTTTTTGTTCATAGAAGATACAAAAACCGCTGGTTTTTGTTTTCCTTTTTTTCTTTGAAAACTTGACATCAATAGCAGCATAATGGCTTACA